GCTGCCTCTGTTGCCGTTTCTCTCAATCCCCGGGGCCGCCTCTGGCTGGGACTCTGGGTCTCCCCTGCGCCTGGAGGGGGGCCAGGCCGGGGGGCTCTTCACAAACCCGGATCCGGAGCCTGGGGACCCACGTGCCTGCCCGGGGCGCTCAGCCCTGCAGCGTCCGAACAGCTTCGCAGCCACTGGCTTTTGCAGCAGGAAGTCGCTCCCTTCGCTGCCTCCTCCCCTTCCCCCCTGGCTTGCAGCTCTATGGTTTTAACCCGCTAGATCCGAGCGCCTTGAGGGACCCCACTATAAACAGCCCCTGCACCGCGCCCCAGAGGTGGCTGCATTTTTCAGCGCCGGCTGGTCAGTGTCGCTCCCTTCCACAGCCGGAGGGGCCGCCCGTCCCCCGTTGTCTACCGCCAGCCTCCATAACGCTGCGGGGAGAGAAAGGTCCCTTTCCGGGTGAGGGTCTTTGGGGGCGCTCCAGGGGTTACCTGGATTTGTGCCCCATGTTACTCCAGCGTGGCTCTGTGGCGCCCCCCAGTGGCTGATGAGGTCGCTGTTGCAGCCCATCACTTAGCTTGGGCCCGGGACTGGCCCAGGTTGCCAGTTTTGGTTGCATGTATTCCTGGATATTTCCTCACATGACATAATCTTCAATTAAAAATTAATCTTTACGTCCTGGAGACTCCAGGTCAATCCTGAAGGGTTGGCAACTCTACGCTGGATGCTCAGGCTGTTGGATCCTGAGGTCACAGTTTCGACTCCTGCACTGACCCAGCTTGGGACTTAGCTCCAGCGAGCGCTTCGGGCTAGGTGGGCCGGTGGAGGAGTTTCAGCTGCCCATTCCCATTGTGGGCTGTTCGTTACCTCCTGCACGCTATATTAGTAATTTGGGGGTTGGACTAGATGACCTCCTGAGGTCCCTTCCAACCCTGATATTCTATGATACAGGAGCGGCTCTCAACCTTTCCAGATGACTTAAAAACAACTTGCTTACAACATCAGACATAAAAATACAGAAGTGTCCCAGCCACACTAGTATTTATTTTTTTTTAATGGAGATATACCTATCTCATAGAACTGGAAGGGACCTTGAAAGGTCATTGAGTCTAGTCCCCTGCCTTCACAGCAGGACCAAGTACTGTCCCTGACAGATTATTTTTACCCCAGATCCTTAAATGGCCCCCTCAAAGACTGAACTCACCCTGGATTTAGCAGGCCAATGCTCAAACCTATCCCCCCCCCCCCCCCACCAAAAAAAAACCTACTGGAGAATGCAGGCATCGATCCTACTACCTCTCGCATGCTAAGCAAGCGCTCTACCATTTGAGCTAATTCCCCTTACTGAACAATTGTGGACTTCCTCATTTTTACCATATAATTCTAAAATAAATCAATTGGGATATAAATATTGTGCTTACATTTCAGTGTATAGAGCAGTATAAGCAAGTCATTGCCTGCATGAAATTTTAGTTTGTACTCACTTCCCTAATGCTCTTTTATGTTGTAAAACGAGGAAAATATCTAGATGAGTTGCTGTACCCCCTGGAAGACCTCTGCGTATCCCTGGTTGAGAATCACTGTCCTACAGCCCCCAGGGCAGCGGACTGGCTAGCCTGGGGGGTGGAGTACTGGGTCTTTCCCCTTCATATCGGAGGGGGATGCTGGAGACCTCTCCCTTGGCCTGTCCAGTCCTTGTCCTCCCTTTCAGAGCGCAGGCTGGTCAGGGCACATGAGCAAATTTGTACAGGGAAACCATTGCCTACCCATCCCTTCCCAGGCCAGGATGGGGCAGGGTGTGTTAAAAACTCAAGGGAGACAAAGGTTTGCGTGGAAAGAGACAGAAAGAGCGAAAGTCTCTGGATGAATCTCATGTGAGGATCGGACTGGAGGTGGGTCTGACAACACTGGCCTCTAGCACAGTGGTTCTCAACCCATTTACCACATGCAGCTCTCTAGGCGTCACGTGGGCCACATCCACACAGTCTTTATAAGACCCGTATGGCCCTGAGAATGTCACATGGGCCACAGCTGTGTGCTGATTGGGCTGCCGGTTGGGAACCATTGTTCTAGTGCAGTGATTTTCAAACTTTTTTTCTGGCAACCCAGTTGAAGAAAATTGTTGATGCCCACGCCCCAACGGAGCTGGGGATGAGGGGTGTGGTGTAGGAGGGGCTCAGGGCTGGACAGGGGGTTGGGGTGAAGGAGGGGGTCAGGGCTCTGGGCTGAGGGTGCAGGCTCTGGGGTGGAGCCAGGGATGAGGGGGTTGGGGTGCAGGAGGGGGCTCCAGGTTTGGGGCATGGGTTTACCTCTGGCAGCTCCCGGGCAGCGGCGGTGCTAAGGCAGGCTTCCTGCCTGTCCTGGCACCGCAGACCACACTGCGCCCCGGAACCGGCCAGCAGCAGGTGCAGCTCCTAGGTGGAGGCGTACAAGTGGCTCCATGCAGCTCTCGCCTGCAGGCACCCCCCCCCCCCAGCTCCCGTTGGCTCAGAACCCGCCAATGGGAGTAGAGCCAGTACTTGGGGGCACGGGCAGCATGCAGAGCCCCGTGGGCCTCCCCCGCTTAGGAGCCGGATTTGCTGCTGGCCGCTTCTGGGGCACAGCACGGTGTCAGAACAGATAGGGACTAGCCTGCCTTAGCCGGGCAGCACCACTGATGGGACTTTTAATGGCCCACTTGGTGGTGCTGACCAGAGCCGCCGCGACCCAGTGCCTGACATTCTGCGACCCACAATGTGAAAACCATTGCTCTAATGCCTGAGCTAAAGGTGGGCAAGTAGGTCGGGGACAGCAGCAGACTCCTGTATGGCCCAGCCCCTACAGGGGTCTAGTCTTGGGTACAGGGAGATCCAGGGTTAGGGACACTGTGTTTACATGGGAAAATGGGGCGCAGCACTTGGGCCAGTGGAGGATCTAGTGCAACCAGCTGGGGAAACCCAGACTCACCCCCAGCTGCAGGCAGACAGGTGGATTCTGCACCCCCCAGTTCCCAATGAGGGAACCTCCCTCCCTCTCTGTGACCCCCCTGGAAATCCTGCACCCCCAGGCTAGGCTGTTTTCAAGGAATGAGGTCGGGCAAGCACAGAACAGTGGGGGGGTGAGGGGGCAAACCCCGGGGGCAACACAAAGGACACAGAGTTGGGGCAATTTCTTTATTGCATCCGGACAATAGACCCTGATCACCCACTGAGAAAGCAGAGAGCCAAGACGGAGGCGAGACCCTAGGGAGCTTCTCCGGCTGCTTGGGAGCCAGGATGAGACGTCCCTGGCTGCCAGTGAGCTCCGTGTGTTGCGAAGAGAGGAGCCGGGTGCTGGAGGCGCCACTGGGGAGAAGGAAATGGACTCTCCCCTCCTGCCTGGAAGTGTCCGCCTGTCCAGCCATAAAGGCGATTAAGGAACCGGTCTCTGGGGGGCTAGGCAGGCATGGAAGGTCTCACTAACATTTGTGAAGAAAACCAAGGACATTTGAAGTGATCAGGGGGACAGGCCCCATGTCCCATTCTCCAACCTCTGAGCCAGCCAGTCCCTCCATCCTGTGGCTAGCTCAAAGCTGGTGCCCCCTAGAGAGGAAAGGTCCCATTCCTTGCCCCCTAAGGCAGCCCGTCCTCCAGCCTTGAGTCTCTAAGTGCCACCATAGTACAAATAATACCAATAAAAGAGAAACGGAGCCTGCAGCCTCTCCCCGGTATCTCTCAGGCGAGCGTCTCCCTGGCAAAGATCACTGTCGCTCTCCCACACACGGCCTCCCCCAGAGGCCTTGACATTTCTCTCAGGGACGGTGGCCCCCCTGAAGTCCTGTAATGCTCTCTCCTGGCAGGCTAAGGGGTCTCTCCATAGGAGCCTATGTTCCCGCCCCATGCCAACATCCCCCTCCTTTCTCAGCCCATAGGCACATCCCCAGTCCTCCACTGTGGCCCCGGGGCAGGCGAGCGGGCACCCAGCTGCAGCCGCAGCATTGCCCACATCTGGCCAGGTGAAGGGCCCTGCTCCGGGAGGAACCGCCGGTGCTGCACCAGCCTGGGCCCTGCAGTGTCACCAGCCCCCTCGCCGCGGCGGTGGGTGCGCTGATGCTTGACCAGGGTGGCTTTCTGGGTGAAGCGCTTCCCACACTGGGCGCAGGGGAAGGGGCGCTCGCCGGTGTGGGTGCGCCGGTGCTGCGCCAGGTTGGCGTTGACGCTGAAGCTCTTGCCGCAGTCGGGGCAGGTGAAGGGCTTCTCTCCGGTGTGGACGCGCTGGTGCAGCAGCAGGGTGGAGCTCTGGCGGAAGCTCTTGCCACACTCCCCGCAGGCGTAGGCCCGCGCCGTGTGCCGGGCCTGATGCCGCAGACACCGGGCCACGTCGCCGAAGGCCTTGCCGCACTCGGCACAGCGGAAGGGGCGCTCGCGGCCGTGGGTGTTCTGGTGGCGGAGCAGCTTGGAGCTCTCGCGGAAGCTCTTGCCGCACTCGGGGCAGCGGAAGGGGCGCTCGCCAGTGTGGGTGCGCTCGTGCTTTCGCAGGTTGGAGCTGTGGCTGAAGCGCTTGCCGCACTGGGGGCATCCGTGGGGCTTCTCCCCGGTGTGGGTGGTCTGGTGCTTCTTCAGGTTGGAGCTGTTGCTGAAGGTCTTGCCGCACACGGCGCAGGCGTTGGGGCGCCTGGCCTTGGGGGTCTTAGCTGGGGGGTCCCCCTGTGGCCGGCACGCCCCGCCCTGGTTCTCGCCCCTGCAGTCAGACCAATCGAGACTCCCCTCGAGCCCAGAGAAACTCATTTCATGCTCAGCAGATGAGTTCAGTCCATTACCCAGGGGGTCTCCCTGCTGCTGTCCCGCCCCACCAGCATCTCCCTGCTTGGCGCTCCGGGACGTCCCATGTGTCTTTGCTTCCACAGACCCCTCCTGCTGGGGATTCCCCTCCTCTGTGCTGGCACCTGCTGGGGGAGAGAGAGAGAAAGAATCCAGTTGGGGCTTGTTCCCTGTGCGGGGAAGAGAGGAGGCAGCAAAGGGGTTTGTTGCTGAGCAGAAAACCTGATGGGCAGGAAATGAATCCCCTCACACCCTTTCCCAGAGGGGAGAGGAGGGGCCGGGGCTGCCCCAACGGCCCAGCTGAGCCCTCAGAGAAAGGCTGGGGGAGGAGAGGGCTCCTGCCGGGGTGGGAGCCGGGAGTGATACCTGCCGTGAGGACAGGGCACCTGCTGGGGATGACACTGAGTGAGACGAGACAGACCTGGGGGGCTCCCGGCGGCTTTGCTGGGATCCCAGCTGTTCCCTTCACTCCTGGACAGTCTCTGAGCCAGTGTGACACACCGACCCCTTGGCAAAGGGTCCCCTGTTCTTTGCAAACAAATCTCACCTGAGACCCGTCAAACTCACTATACCAAAGGCATTGCCTGGCATAGTAATCGTCCATAAAAGGTAACATGTAAGGTATCTACAGAAAGCTTGTAACATATCATAATCATTGTGAGATGTACATGCAGGTAATATTTACAGAATAATATATTTCTACTGACATGACACTATAGGACTTTGAATAGAAATTAGTCACCGGGGACAAGTCTCCGGGATGACCCGTTCAGGGGAGAGGGTGTTGCCACTCTGCCCTGTCTAGCCAATTCAAGGCTCAATTGTTTAGCCTTGTGCAACACGGAGGTCTTGTCTACATGTCAAATGCTGCAGCGGCATAGCTGCGCTTCAGTGTAGACACTCCCTGCGCCGTGGGAGAGGTTCTCCAGATGGTAGCTGGATCAATGGAAGAATTCTTTTGTCAACCTATCGCTGGCTACACAGGGATTTAAGTCGTCTGAACTGTTGTTCAGGGGTGTGGATTTTTCACATCCCTCTCTGACATAGTTAAGCTGACCTAATTTTCTAGTGTAGACCAGGCCTAAGACCATCCATGGAAAACCCATCAGAAGCAACTGCAAACAATCAAAAGCACCTGAAGGTACACAAAGGAACATTACAATATGACAGGGGTTCACCCTGTCTATGAACAGAAACAGAAGACTGTTTCAGCATAACACAGAGGAGGGAGAGGTCCCCTGAATCCATTCACTGAGGAAACCCCTTGTGGAGCAGGCGTGTTTTCATGAACATTTGGCTCCTGGTTCTTGTGAAATAAGTCAGCTCTGCAACAGACTTAACAGGGGGAGAGGGGCACCCACAAGTGTGCACCCAGGGTCACCTTTTCTGATTTTGTTTTGTGTTGTATCCAGCTGTTTCTATCCCACTCTCTCATTTCTAGTTCAATCTTTACCCTTTCTTAAATAATCCTAGTTTTGTTTTATTAGAAGCACTCACAAGTACTGGGTGACTTTAGAGGAGCAGCAATATAAGGTAAAACTAGTAACGTAGGGTACCCTGCTCCTTTGGGGCAGAGGGTCTGGGATTTCTGTGAGTAGCCAGTGTCAGGGATTGGATATCGCAGGAGAACAATCCAAAGGGACTGGGGTGCACCTCTTGTTAACCTGCAAGGCAGTGACAGGGCTGGCATAGCCTGGAGTGGAGCACTTGAGTGGCTGACAGGAGTTAACACTCGGCAAGAATCCCTCAAACTGGAGGCAGGGGGTAGCAAAGCGACTCCCAGCCCTCCGTGCCCCAAGAACCGTCACAGCCAATGTCACGGTTTCCCATCAGGGGTGTCATGTCCAGCTGGGAAATGGAAATTCTGCTCTGGAGAAAGCAAAGGGGTAGGAATCGTGTGGCTGGCGCAAGATCGGCAGCACTCATGCTTCCCAGCGGGAGCTGTATTGTAGGGGCAACAATCTCTGTGCTGCAGGGTCTGTGGGCTCCAGGGGCTGATCCCCCAGAAAGAGCCCTGAGCCAAAGCCCCAGGTGCATTAGAGTCCCCCAACTCCTAATCCCAGAGGGGAAGCAGCTCCTCACCTGGCGAGATCAGAGTCTCTTCCTCCTCCTCCTTAATCTCCCTGCAGATCTTGCCATGTTCTGGGGCCAGCGCTGCCCGCTCTGCCACGGAGGAACACGCAGCCTCCTTCTCCCACGTCCCCGGCTCCTGGAACAACAAAGGCGCCCCCATTAGTGCTGGCAGCCACATACCCCTCACTCCCCATCAGCGAACAGAGCTAGCCAGACAAGGGAAATCCCTGCCTGCCGAAAATGTTGCGTTTTTTTGACGTTTTTACCCCCAATTGGGGTTAATTTTTTTTTTAAAGCAGCTTTTTTCTGGGGAGGGGTTTTTAACAGAAAAGTCTATTCAGGGACAACTGAGAGGAAGTTTTTCAGCTTCCCAACCGCCAGACAGACCACTTCACAGCCTCTGCCCACAGCTCCAGGGCTGGAGAAGACGACAGCCATGACTCTCTGCCTCCCTCTTCGCTCCAGGATTCTCTTCCTCTCTGGTCCCAGAGCGAGGTGTGTGGGGAGAGGGCGCTTTCACCCAGGCAGCCCTCCCAGAAAGTTGTCAATTTCATTGGCAGAAAGTGACTGTGATGAGAGACTTGTGGGCAGGGGGGTGAGGAGCCTACACTGAGATTTTTCCCAACAGAAAAGAATTTTCCCACAAAACTGAAATTTTTCCCCAGGGACAACTTTGGTTGGGCAAAATGGGCATTTTTCATCAGAAAAATCATCTCCACAAAATATTTTTCCCAGTAGCTCTACGAACAGAGGAAAGGTCCCGTGTCCCATTCCCAGACCCCCTTCAGCCAACCAGTCCCCCCTGCCTCATAGGTGGATTGGAGCTGGCGCCCCCCAGAGGGGAAAGGCCCTGTGTCCCACTCCCCAATGATTTCACATCCGTAAATTACCTCCTGCTGTGGCCATATTCCGGGCTCTTCCTTGGCTAACTGGAAACCCTCTGCCAGAGCCACGGCCTGCTCCCCGGTCTGGGGGTGACACCCCCCTACCCAGCTCTGGATCTCCTGGGGCAGAATGCTCAGGAACTGCTCCAGCACCAGCAGCTCCAGCATCTGCTCCTTGGAGCGCTGCTCCGGCCTCAGCCACGCCCGGAAGAGGAGGCAGAGGTGGTCGTACGCTTCCCGGGGCCCCTCAGCCTCCTGGTAGCGGAAACCCCTGAAGCGCAGACGATGCATCTCCATGTCGATGGGTCCGTGGGCATCCAGCTCCTCCACTTCCTCTTTGGGAACCAGGCCACATCCCGGTGGGGGCTGGAACTGGAGCCTGAGAGCGGCTGGGGGAGCCACCTGGGCAGTCATGGCCCGTCTCTGAGCCAGAGCACAGCTGTATCTCCCTGAGGATCACCTGGCATCAGCAATGGACCCCCTGCAGCACCATCTGTATGGGGGGGGGG